TTAATAAATAATAGTTGAATAAAGGAATACACCAAGGGGAGAGGTAGAGGGAAAGAAGAGGGAGGAGTAAGGAAGGAGTAAGGGGAATGTAAGGAGGGTGAAAGGGGAATGCTAGGTGGGAGGGGAGAAAGGAAGGTTTGAGGGGAAAGGGAAGTAGGAGGGGGGTGTTGGAGGGAGGAAGGGAAAGTTGGAGGGGGAAGATGGGGTGTATGGAGGATGGAAGTGTCAGGTGCGGTTGTGAAGGATGATGAGTTGTGTTTTCTTTTTATTTTATTTTAATTCTTTTTTTATAGTAAATATCCAGTATATAAGTGACTGTAAAATGGAATGTGAAAATCAATAAAATATTTATCAAAAAAAAAAGAAGTGGGCTTTGAGAATGTTCTGGGACAGAATGTTCAATTCTGGGACTCCCACACTACCGAAAGATTTGCATTTGGTTTCCAGAAAAGGGCTAGGATGCATTCCAGGTTAGGATTAGAGCCAAGGCATCAAAAATCTACACCAGGGGTGTCAAATTCAAGGCCCAGGGGCCGGATCCGGTCCACGGGGTACTTAGATCTGGCCCTGGAAACAGCAAAGGACTGGCTGCGGTACTTCTACCAGTGAAAACGGAGCTCGGGACAGCTGCATGCGGCCTCCCGAGCTCCATTTTCACTGGCAGAGGGTTGCAGGAGGCCATCGCAGCTGAAAATGGAGCTTAGGAGCCTGTTTTTGCTGACAGAGTGCTTGCTTGAGCCACAGCAGATGCCCCCGACACGAATGACGTTAAGCTGGCCATGCCCACCCTGGCCACGCTCCCTCCCGGGCCCCCTCGAGATCAAACACAACCCTGATGCGGCTCTCAATGAAATGGAGTTTGACACCCCTGATCTACACAGAGTGGGAAACTGGGAGACACTGACTAAAAATGAAGTGACACAAATGGATTCCTAGCCGAGCCAGGATGTTACTCAGTGAATAGATGCACCAACCTTCAAACTCGTGTAGTGTAAATCAAGATTTTCTTCAACCATTTCCAACAAATGGCCATCAGGAGCATCTTGGACTCTTCCATCTCCATGTCTTCTACCATCTTTTCCCACTGACCACAATTTATCTTCTGGGACCCCTCTAGACTTCTCCACTGATGCCACCCAGTGTAGAAGGGATTCAATCTTACTCCGATTTTCTTCAAAGTCTTTAATAACTCTAACCTGGGAACAAATTTTTGAGAGAAGAAACAAAGTAGAAAAATTCCATGGATATGAATAAAGTGTTGCTGCTGGAGCAGGCTGCTTGGAACAGGCTGGGCAGCAAGGATAATCACTTTCTTGAGCACCTGCTATCGTAGTTTTGACAGACTCTGCAACAATCAACTGATGTGTATTTACATAATTGCATCCCCTCTTAAAATCTGGTGACTGAACCGGAGGTAGAGGTGGAGGAGAGACCATCCAGTCCCATCTCCTACTCAATGCAGGACCCACCATGGCTTCTCTAACAGGGGATCCTCTGGCAATAAAAGAGCTGAAATTACCCAGCTGGTAGTTCTGTCCTACCTTTTCTGTCTGTTGTTGCATCACAGAGTTCACAGCACTTTCAAGTTCCTTCTGGGCGGCCTCCACCCTCTCCTGCAGAGACAGGTACCGCCCCTGAGCCTGGTGGAGCTTTTCTTGCAGGGATTCCAGCTCTCCAAGGGGAAGGTTGATTCTGTTCTCCTCCAGAAAGTCCTCTGTTGCCTTCAAGACACTTGTGAAGGAAGCCGTCCGGCTGTGCAGGCTCCGACGCAGGTCCTGGAGAATCACAAGCGAAGCCTTCTGCAAATTTCTAGGAATTGACTTTCAAGGCTGGCATTCTGACTCTCTTCCCATCATCTTTTCCAACAGACTCAGTCAAAAAGATCCCTCGAGCCACCCATTACATTTTGATTTTATTTATTTATCCAACCCACCAAGCAGACTAGATGAGAAAATCAACTTCCCAGGAAAGCAAAATCTACTTTTATTGAGATTGGTGGCAATAACCAAATCCTGCAGGTCTGACTGAGCTGTATCTGCTTCCCCTTCTTATCCTCCTGTGAATCAGGGAGGCCCCTGCCTAAGCCTCTTCCCCATATTATCTTCTAGTTCTGGGCTTGAGAAATCCTCCAGCCCCCTTTGCCTAAGCAACGGTTCTTGCATGTTTCCACTGAGGTGGTCTTCCTTGCCCTCTAACAGGGTTTCTCAACTTTGGCAACTTCAACATGTGTGAACTTTAACTGCTGGCTGGGGAGTTGTGGGAGATGAAGTTCACACATCTTAAAGTTGCCAAGGCTGTCTAACACCACTTAAAGTCTCGATGGTCCCCACATGGAGAGCATGATGGGAGAGGGAAGCCAGAGTGTGGCACCTGCCAGGCACCAAGAAAAGCTCCGTCTTTCACCCCAGGGTCTTCTGGAAGTCTCATGCTTACGGTCACGTCTTTCTGGTTGTGTTCCAGGACGGAGAGGTCTTCCCCTGATGCCCCTGCTGTGGCTGCTTGGGAACCCTGCAGCTGGGCCTCTGCCTGATCCATCCAGGTGCACATCTCCTGCAGCTTGTGGTCTCGTATGGCTTGTTGTTCTTGCAGTGTCTATATGGTAAGAGGGAGTTTTTAAAAATGAAGGAAGGGATTTGTTAAGGCTTATCAGTTAAACAAATAAAAAAACAAATAAGGTCAGAGAAAATGTAAAACAGAGAAACAGAAGTGCTTGGAGGACAAGATGCATTGTCTGTCTCTTGCTCTCTCTTGCTCACCTGCACCTTTCCTCTTCCATGTCAATTTTACAAGTATGACTCAACTCATACCGTGGGAGGGAAGGGTGGGAGGAAAGAAATGGATGAAGGCAATCAGATGATTGTCCCCAGCCTAAGAAAATACCTAAGTCATTTTTTCTTTGCAGTCTTGATGGGGGAAAGGGCCACATACAATGACTTTGCACAACTGCAGTGACCTACAAGAGGTCGTTCCTGAGACAGCCCGTGTGTGTTTGGGTGTGTGAAGGAGAGCAAGGCAGAGAGAGATTCCACACCAACAGATGCCTTTTGGCCAGCCTTCCCCAACTAGCTGTTTCCAGTGGTGTTGGACTTCAACTCAGACCATCCAGACAGGCTGGAGATTGTGGGAGTTGAGGTCTAGCACACTTGGAGGGTGCTGGGTTAGGAGAGGCTGCTCTGGGCACAGAGTAACTTTAAGGTGATTGAGCATGATGTGTGACCCTGGACCATCCTTCTGTCAATGCTTGGTCCCTTCTGATCCTTGGCCAAATGAGTTGTCCTGCTTTCTCTGGCAGTCTTAAGCCAAACAACAGAAGCAGTTTGAGAAAGGGAGTAAGAGAAGCTCTCCTCAAAAGTGCTCTTCGGCAGTGTAAGGAGATCTTCTGCATTAGGGATGAGACACATTCAATCTGAAAAGGCAAAGCACATTGGTTAATACACACAGAGACAAGAGGCAGAACAGCACAGTGGGACAGAGGCCACTGCTGAACAAAACTCCCTTTCCCTGAAAAGGGGAGGTGGGCAGAGGATGGGTGAGCAGCAGAAACAGGATTGTGCCCAGAAGCGTGGAGGAAGGTGGGCAGTCCAAAGAGAAGGTGTCAAGGTTCAAGGAGGCTGGGCTGAAACCCAGAAGCTCCTTTGGGGTCAAAATTAGAGCGAAAAAGAGGTTTTGATCATCTGAGCAGGGAAAGAATCCCTCTTCCCTCTTCAACTGCAGCCTTTGCAAAAGTTACCTTCTTGCTCAGATTGGGAATGAAATTCTCCCCCCCCCCTGCATGCATCTATACAGGCACGCGCATACATGTACACACACACACACATACACACACCAGTTAATTTAAAAATATAATCATCCCTGCCCTGCTTCTCTCTAGCAAGGAGAGGAACCCAGTCACCTCTGCCCCCACCCAAACAGGGATGTTGGCTTAAGATTTTGTGCTAATATTTTTTTTTTACTGGTTGGGAAATTTCTCCTTAATTCTAGGTTGGATCTCTCCTTCATAAGTTTCTATCTGTTGCTTCTTGTTCTGGTGCTTTGGAGAATAGGTCGCCCCCCTTTTTCTTTGTGGCAGCCCCTCAAATATTAGAACACTGCTATCATCTCCTTCTTTTCACTAGACTACACATACCCAATTCCTGCAACCGTTCTTCATGTTTTAGCCTCCAGTCTCTTGATCACTTTGTTGTTCGTTTCTGCATTCTTTCTAGGGTCTCCACATTGGTTTTGTATTGTGGTGAATTGTTGGCAGTATTCCAAGTGTTGTCTCACCAAGACAGCATAAAGTGGTACTAAAATTTCCCGTGATCTTGATATTATTGCTCTGTTGATGTTGCCTATGACTGCATTGGCATTTTGTAAAGACTCTGGCTAATCTTGGTGTCACGCTCTATCTGTTGCGACCTCCCTTCTCTGCCTGTCTCTCCTCCCAGCCTCTAGACCAGGGCTGTCAAACTCCCATCTGATGGGCCGGATGCATCACACGCTGGCCATGCGAAGGGGAAAAAAGTCCTGATACGTCATGAGTTTGATCCCCTGCTCTAGACATTCTGCTTGTCTTCCTTGCCCAAGACAGTTCTATCCATCCACCCTTCCTGATCAGCAGTGCCAAAAGAAGGAGTCCTTTTTGTCCTGAACTCATTCAATGAGACTAGCCTAAAGGTTTTGCAAAGTTCAGCAGGAGCACCACTGCTTCATCAAGAGTAAAAGCCACACATGCACACACAACTACAACCACACTGTTCCTTATCAAGGACAAGGCAGCCCTGAAGAGGGAAGTCCACCCCATCATCTCCTCCATTAGCTTTACTGGCTGGAGACAGACCTGGAGGACCTCAGTGTGGGCGGTCACTCTCTCGGACAACTCCCGAAAAGTCCTCTGCAGGTCATTCAGCAGCCTCAGCAACTGCCCGCTTTGCTCAGTGTTCAAGTCTTGCATGTGCTCAGAAATGAAGAACTGGATATTCAAGGCCATCTCATCAAGTTGAGTTTTAGTCTCTGTGATGGGCTTTGCCAGTTCCTGGCCATATCAAGAGAACAGAAAGAGAAACTGTTAGCAGGGCAAATTATTCTTAGGCTGGGCAGAAATTACTCAACTGGAAGAAACCATACTACAGCATCATCTGAGGTTCGGTTCATTGGATTTCTTTTTGCTCTGAAAGTCAGCTTCCATTGTGTTCTGTCTCTGGCCAACAGTAAACCAACATCCCTGGTCTGTTAGACTCCAAGAGTTTCTTTCCTTGGAAATCATCAAGGTAGTGCATACCACAGGGCAGGGTCTTTCAGTGACATCATCCAGAGCTCAATTACATCAATTAGGATACATATATCATGAATTAGCCATGCCTCTTTTAGAACACCACCATAACTGCAAGTGCACTGGAGATGTTTTTCCTGCCATAAGATTAAACATTTTAATGGCACAGTCCTGTATTCAAACCATCTTTCGTTTGTAGCTTCGGTAATTAAAAGCTAACTTCTTACAGCTTTCAGTTCTTTCTCTGCCACCAGGAGAAAGAAGAAGATCTAGCAGCCCTTAATAAAATGAGATCCAGTGCTGCTCTCTTTTACCCAAAGGAAAGTAAGTCCTAACTTGCTGCATTGCTCTGGAGCTCTTTTTGCAGTTCAGGGAAGTAACCCATGTCTAACAGCATTTGGCTGAAACAGGGGACTCCCTCTTTTCATGAAAGTGGCACCACAAATGTCTCTGTCTCGGGAGGAAGTTTCTTGAAAGGAAACTTTTTCTCAATCTCCATATCAAGAGCCTGCAGAATTCATCACCATAGATGGTTACAACCCAAAAAAGTCACTGCAGATTATAATGGGTCCTGGTCCAAAGCAAAATTTATAAATGTAAACACATGGATGATAGGTTTCTAGCCATCATTCGTCCATCCCTCACCCCATCCCACTGACAGGCCAAAAGCTCCAGTTGCCAGAAGGGAGACAGATCGGATGAGTCCAAGTTTTGTGGAGAAGAACAAGGGAACTGGCACAAAAACCCATGACCTTTTGCCTGGAAAGACAGACGGTAACTTCAAGTATCAGAAAGGCAATTCTGGCCATTGGATGCCAGCAGCCAAAGGCCTATGACCTTCCCCTGGGAAGTATCTCCCATCAGACCCTCCAAGGGCATCCGGAAGGTCAATGTCAGTCATGTACAATGCTAGAAGAGCCATGCAGCTTAGTTCCAAAAGCTGCCTTCAGCATCTGGTGATATTTTGCAAGCTCAAACAACTAACAGGAGAATGAATGATGGTGGTGAGGTCTCAAGAGATGAAGGAAGCCTGGTTAATGAAATGTCACCTCCACCTATTCCTACCCACCCATCCTGTCCCAAAACTGCAATGTTCTCTTGCAGAGAACCTTAACCTGGCTGTTGCTATGGCTACCTTGCATCGCTGAAGGTAGGGGGTCCAGCTTCCGCCCTTCATCCCAGCATTGGATTCAAGGACATCGAGTTTCTGGGTGGAGTCTGCCACCCACTTCAGCAGCCCTTGCGATTTGCCATGGAGTTCAGCCTGCTGACTTTGGATTTTAGCCTCAGAATAAAAAGAGAATAGAGAATTAAAACCGCTATTTAAACACGAAAGCAAAACAAAGTTAGCAAAAGGCATCAAATCTAGCAGAAACAGTCACCCTTTCAAGAGATGGGATAATTCTGAAATGAAATCAATGCCACAAAGGGAGGCTTTCCCTCAGAACTCTTCTTGTAAGCAGGCTCACAAAAGAACTGCCAGAAAGCTACTTACACATTCTAAGTAAGTGCAGAAAAACAACTGAAGAAAAAAGAGGAGTCCCTTTCTCAAAGATTTCTTGCCACAGGGACAGAGAGGTACCAGAAAGTGGGAGACCATGAGTTCAAATCCCGCCTTGGCCATGAAAGCCAAATGGGCGACTTTGGGCCAGTCCCTTCCTCTCAGTCCAACCCACCTTGCAGGGTTGTTGTTGTGGGGAAAATAAAAAGAAGAAGACGTGTTGGATATGCTTGGCCCTTGAGTAATTTATGAAAATAATAAAAGTGGGATACACATGAATGAATGAATGAATGAATGAATGAATGAATGGATGAATGAATGAATGAATGAATGAATGAATGAATGAATGAAAGAAAGAAAGAAAGAAAG